AGAGAGAGAGAGAGAGAGAGAGAGAGAGAGAGAGAGAGAGAGAGAGAGAGATACAGGTGTTACAGGTACTACAGGTGCTATTGGTGCATGTGTGTGGCCGCATTTTCTATGTATGTGTTTGTTTACGAATTCCAGCAGTAAATACATAATATGTGTGTACACGTGTTCGAGTAAGTGAGGATGTGCACGTGTTTGTTAGAGAATACGTGTGTGGAAAAATTGAAAAGCGTCAATATATTTTTTGTTGTTTGAAAATGTGCGTTTGTGAGTAATTGCCTCTGCGTTTATGCGTGTATTTATGATTACTTTTACGCCTGATGTTGCAGAAATGTGAACATTTCCGTATATCGATATCGTGAGTTAGTTAACGTTGCACTTTCGTTATCAGCGGTACCATTCTATTCCTGTCTCCAGAACCATGCCTTGTTTGTTGCTTTTTTTTTTGGTTGTTGTTGTTGATTGTTTTGGTAAGTGTATTACGGCGCTCACAACTGCATAAGGTCATATGGGCACGCGGCCGAAGCCTACTCTTATTGATTTTGGACCACCAAATGGTCTATAACGTGCGCAACTAGCACACAGGACCTCCGAGATTATTCGCCCTTGTCCGAGAAGGCTAGATGTAGATCTTTCCTACCAGAAGATCAGGGGTGTGGCTGAAAGACAGCAATAAGAAAGAGCAAAGGAGTAGCAGTAGAAAGGCTGCAGAAAGAGTCAGGAGCCCAGTGAAGGGGGCAAAGGATGTGAAAGGGTGGGGGAAGAAAGTGGAGACGAAAGCAGACGACAGAATATTGCAAGAGAGAAGGTAACAAGGTGAAAGGAGACAATCTTAGAGAAGAAAATGTTTCCGTGGCTACCCGGATTCGAACCAGGGGCCTTTGAATGAGAGGCGAACACCTTAACCTCTAGGCCACGAGGGTCTCATCTGTAAAACCCTTATAGGGGTGTATAACATAAAAAGGGGGGGGGGGGGGGCATGAGGGATAAATAGAAACAATGATCATATTGTTATATTATTGTCAGACAAAATTTTTGTTCAACGAGGCAGCAACAGCAATCAATCTTGCTTCTTTTGATAAAGCGTTCTCCTCGGCTTAGACAGAGATGTATAATGACACAAGTTGTAATTGTCAGCGGTTCCTAGGGAGTATTCATTATCTCTTGTCTGTTTTGATATCATTCTTTTCGTTATTACCTCTTGGTGAGCCAATGTCTCTATGTTATTTTTGGGGAGTTTTTGTCGTTTTATTTTTTTAAAAGTTATTTTCGTTATTTTTCCTTTTATCGTTTGCGTTGCTTGAAATAAATGCTCATTGTAAATATCTGTGTTTTTAAAACATCGTATTTTTCAAGCATAGACGTATGCGATGTAGCAGTTAGCCACTTTGCCGTGGTACACGAGGGACCTTGGTTAGATTCGTGTGTTTGTAGATTTGTATCCTGTTTCTCGGTATTTCTCCTGGGGAATTGTATCTCTCTCAGCCACGGTTTTCTCTGACAGACAGAATCGAACGTTATTGTGTCGAGGGCGGCATTAAAATTACCTACATTAAAAAAGGATAAACCACGTTTAGAATTATGTATCAAGAGGGAAAAACAAATGAATAGGTCTCGGCACATTGCAGAATTCAGCTTATGACGAATATACGAAAAACGATAGGCAAATTTCTTCGGACACACAATGCGGAAAGAAGCATTGGAGAATATTGTAACAACAGGCAAGTTTGATGGAAAGAGAGGCAGAAGCAGACAGAGGGAAAATATACTGAACAAGATGACAACATGGCTGGGAGCAGCAAGAACAGACACCATAGCTGCAACGCAAGACAGAGTGAAGTGGAGGTTCATGATCGCCCACGCCAGTCGACAAGGCACCGGGTGATGATGATCAAGAAGGAAGATATCAACAGTATGTGTGTGTAATGTGTGTTTGTATGATTGTGTGTGCGTTTGTGTGTGTGTGAGAGAGAGAGAGTTTGAGAGAGAGAGAGAGAGAGAGAGAGAGAGAGAGAGAGAGAGAGAGAGAGAGAGAGAGAGGGGGGGTGAGGTGGGGTGGAACAGGGGGCTGGCCTGCTGGTTGAGAGGTGGGAAGTTTTAAAAAAACACGAAACAGAACGTGGATCAAACAGATGTTTGCCCCAAGTCAAAGTACTTTTCCTCTCAAAAGAAACTGTCCGTTTCGCTGTGCTAGGTACTAGTGAATACTTGCTTTGGCTGGTCAGCCTAAGTGTTTTCTGTTTGATGTTAGCCTGAAGTTACTTTTCCCAGTATCCTATAGGAACGATGGCATACCTGAAGCTGTTGCTTTGTTACCTGAGGAATAATAAGTTGCACATGGCACTCAGCCTCTGAGCTTGCTCGTGCTCCTGTTCTTTTGAATTCTCTCTCTCTCTCTCTCTCTCTCTCTCTCTCTCTCTCTCTCTCTCTCTCTCTCTCTCTCTCTCTCTCTCCCCTCTCTCTCTCCCCTCTCTCTCTCTCCCCTCTCTCTCTCTCCCTCTCTCTCTTTTTCTCTCTCTCTTTCTTCTTTCTTCATCCTCTCTCTCTATCTTTCTCCCATTCTCTCTTGCTTAATTTTTCTGTGTCAGTCATTCACTCTGTCTATCTTGCTATGTATCTGTATGCCTGCAATTTTTGTCTATCTGCCTATCTGTCTCTTTCCCGATCCCTTCCTTTTTATCTTTCTATCTATCTATCTGCCTGTCTGTAAGTCTGTCTGTCTAACTATCTATCTGGCGCCCTTTCCCATGTTCAATGAACTTACTGTTTGGGAAAATCCCTACTCCCCCCCCCCCAATCCCCACCTCAAACTTGATGCATCATACTTAGTTTCTACTTAATGAGCCCATATGCCACATTCCCCGTTAGACAGCTCTTTGAACCTGGCTGTTCTCTTTCAAACCGTTAACCTCCCTCTGGTATCCGCTAGCTTTTGTTTAGTGTTCAGGTTTTGCCCATTTATGCGATCCAATTAATTCTCCGGAAATTCTAGTATCGCTACGATCCAATGATCTCCCTTGGTCTAACTCTTGCTAAAATTCCCTGTACGCGACATATTTCTATAAGTTTTTGGGTTGTTGTTGTTGTTGGTTTTTTGTTGGGGTTTATTGTGTTTTGTGTTTTTGGTTTTTGGTTTTTGTTGTTGTTGGGGGGTTGTTGTTGTTTGGTTGTTGTTGTTTGGTTGTTGTTGTTTGGTTGTTGTTGTTGTTGTTGTTGTTTTTTTGGGGGGGGTGTTTTTGTGGTAAAAACTGTTTAACGGCACTGGCAACTGCATAAGGTCATATTATGAGCGCCCGGAATATTTTGAACATTTATAGCTTAGTAGGAATTTACTGTGAGTTTTGCCTGGGTGGCGGTCGAAGCCTACTCTTATCGATTTTTTATCACAAAGGGATTGTCAACGTGCGCAACTTGCACACGAGACCTTCAAAAGTGGAGACGAAAGCAGACAACAGAGCATGGTTAGAGATCAGGGAAGGGGGTGAAAGGAGAACATTTGAGGTGAAGAAAATTTTCCGTCGCTCTCAGGTTTCAAAACCAGGACCTAGTGAATGAGAGACGAATAGCGTAGCCTCTAGACCACGAGATCCGCCTTGTTATTATTAATAAAGACAGTCAGTTATATACAAAATTAAGGACTAAAGTAAGAACTA